AGATGAGAGAAAGAAGCCAAGGTAATGGTGCTATGCGTATCCTTGCAGACATGAACATTGCTTTGGCTGGCTCAGTCCTGGTGAGCCCTTGGAGGGATCCCCGCTGAGGTCAGGTTTTTGGGAATTCACTTGAAAGCCAGTTGTGAAGGATGATGAGGTGATTCATTGAATTGTGCTGGAAGGCGGCAGCAGGGGTGGGCTGGGACTGGAGCTGGTGGCTGGGTCAACCTGGGAGAACTGGACCCAAGGGGAGAGGGGCGGCGGGTGGCACTGGGCGGGCTGACCAGGGTCTCTGAGTCCAAGCGGGTGGCGTTTTAAAAGCTCAGAACACTGTGCCTGGTGTGGAGGGTGGGGAAGGAGGGGCAATGGCTGGGGTCAGGAGGAGAGAACAGCTGGGAAACTGTGTGAGGTGGCCGAGTGAGAAACCGTGATGACGTACTGTGCCTGTGTACTGCTGCTCAGGACTGTGACTCCTTCGTTTTTAAACGCTTAGTCCTGCTGAGGAGCACATATGTGTCTCTATCTTTAGCGGGTGCATAAACTTGTTTTCCCGGAGAAACCTATACAATACCTGTAAATGTTGGAGCTGAGCAGGCTTGCAGCTAGGCCATATGTGGGTTGGTGTGTGCTAATGGGAAGAGGCATTTAACCTCAGCTGAAGCTGTCACATTTGGAGGCTGGTGGTATACCCACCAGCTCACCCAGAGAGGAGTGAGTGACACCTCGTGTCCTGTGGGAGTTACAGCTGGAGATGGGGGTGCCAGATGCTGGCCCTGGGGGAGAGCACAGTCTGAGGTGTCCAAAGGGTGTCTGTCTGAAAAACATTGGCCAATGCACGTTGGGTTGTGTCTGGCAAAAAGGAGTACCTCTGGAGCAGGCAGAGCATCTATAGATTCCACCTTCTGGCCGTGGTGCTTCAGTCTATTTAGATGTCAAACTAGAGATTTAACTGCTTAAATTTAAATGTACAATTGAAGGGGGGAAGGTGGTGTCCTGTAAAAGGAAATTCTTGCAAGTTGCTCGCCCACTTCAGCAGCACTGGTGCTTGGACATGGGACATGATAAATGGGCACAGCGGGGCCAGAGCGGGTTTGCAGAGTCAGGCCTAAAGACCGTAGCGGGGCATCTTCGTTAGGAGCAAACATGATCGTAAGCTGCTTTTCTCACTTTGTAGTCACTGCAGAGTAGCTCTCTTCTCTAAAGCTTACAGATAAATAACTACAAGATTTGAATCTGACATTTTAAAGTTTTTTAAAAGCCAGAAGGCATCTCCTTTCATTGGAAGGGAAATTTGAAACTCAGTTACTTTGCTTTAAAAGGTCCCAGGCAGGCATTTCAGGCAGGGGAAACGCTGGCCCTTGTTTACTGTGGTTCCTGAACAGCTAGCACAGTTGCTTCTCCCCATTTTACACCTTGCCCAGGCCTGAAGGGGTTACGTTTTAAAATGAATAATGACTAAATTTATTCGTCATGGACAAATGATGACAGCTGTTGAGATGCTCCTGTTAGCGCTTCCCAGGGGATAAAGTCAGGCTGGTTCCTAGTGCAAGCCAGCCCAGCCAGGCAGACTCAGCTCGTCTTCATCCTGGATTATTTGTCCCGGGTTCCCCTCACTAGCAGGAAATTTCCTTCCTAGAAGTGAACCGAAGTTTCCTGTGCGGAAATGGGTGTTGATGAGAATCCCGCAGAGCCGCAGTTGTAGAGGGGACTGAAGCCATAGCTGTTTAACTCCATGTGTGAAGACAGCATGCTTAATGAATACGAAGCGCAATGATTGATTATGTTCTGGACTGAAAGCCGTGGCGCTCTGTGAAGCACTGTTACATCTGGGCACGCTATGGAAAATATGAAGGAATGTTGAGGAAGCTTATTTGCAGAAGGATATGTACTTGTAAGCATTTTTTTTCTTCTTAAATAATGTAAAGGAATTGAAAAATGTAAAGCAAATTGTGTTCTCTGTTTCTCTAAGACAGCAGAGTGGTGAGGAGACAAAGGCCTCTTTTGTAAGGGCATGTCTCTGATAGAGAGTGCTATGTGGCCCTTATAAATGAGCACGGGGAGGGGGGGGGTGGTCTTGGGATGGGAGAACATCAGTGGTTATTTAATGTTAGAACATGGCACCAATTCCGCTTCGGTGCATCTCTGCTGGAGTCATGAGAGTTACACCCATGCTGAATTTACCACCTCGTGATTTGCAGATAGGCTGCAAAAAATACGATCCGAGTTCAAATGATTATTGTGAACAGGAGCCAATAAATGGGGGGAAAAAAAAGGCTTTTTGATGATAATGTATAGTTGCTTGTTTCTCTCTTATTTTCTGTACTTCCATGTTCAGGTTTCTTTCTGTTCTTTGTTTCTCTTTCTGTCCTGCACACGTGCTGCTGGAAGACTTGATGTGCAGTTCTGAATGTGGCGCTGTCATTCTGCACTACTCAGATGAGAAAATGCTGTTGGGTTATTGAAGGGATATTCTGATTTGATGAACATGTAATCCTTAGTTTGTAGACTTAATGAACAGGAAGATGTGACTGTAATCCAAACATCCCCAAAACTGTGGGCTGGCTGGTTGTTTTTTTGGAGTGTTGTTTTTTTAGCTAATGCTTAGAAAAGCCTGTTTTAAATGAAAATGATAGTTTATTTAGTTGCTAAAATGCTACAGGAGTGTGATCCTTTTAATATCTGTTTTTCTGAATTTTTATTTATTATATGAAATAGCAAACCACACCCTCTTCTTTCAGAGGGGTGAGGCTTTAAAAATGCAGTGAGTTAACTAAGGCTGTATCTAGATAGCCTAAAATGCAGCTGATGGAGAATTTTATTACCAGATGAAAGTGATTTTGAAGTAGTAAAGTATCTTTTGTTTTGAGTATGACTGACTTTCTCTTGGCTGGTAATATATATATGACAAATAATAATTTGCTTAGTATCTATAGATGAGCTTTTGAAATAAATGCAGTTGGGGCAAATCATGCTCAGAAGTTTTTGTATTCAAGGTCTGTGCAAGTCTTTCTGTATTACTTAAACCCCTTCATAGAGGCTTCAGAGATTACATGTTTTAAAGTCTATTTTGAACTGCCATGATCTTCTGTGCAACTCTCACCAAATAATGTTTTTTGAAATAATTCCTGTTTGAACTAGACTGTATCTTTCGGGAAAAAAAAATCAATCTTGCTTTTTAAGAACTGCCTGTGGCAGAATTTGCTGGGTGACACATCTCCTAACCTTGTAGGGAGTCAGTCCTGTGATTATTGCAAAAAAAGCTTGGGGGTGGGCAGGGGAGGGAGGGGAAAAAAGGCAATTCAGAATTTAATTTGTTTTTAACCTCCAGCCCGTGGCCTTGTTGTATATTTTTCTATTAGGTGAGAAACAATATTAATAAATCACACTGGAAAACTACGTTAATAAATCTGGAGTTGCTGTGTTAACACAGAATATAATCAAGCAACTTGTTAAGAATCTGGCCAGGCTAAACAGTCCCCTACAGTGAATTTTCATTTAATTTAATTAAAAACATATTTTCCAATCCTTTAATCATTCTCATGGTCCTTCCCCGAGCTCTTTTCAAATTATTTTTGAATTATGTATGTCAGAACATGACCAGTGTCAATAGGGAGGTAGCACAGTCTCCATGGTCGCCTTAGGGCACTGTGTTAGAGAGAGTCCTAACTATGCCTTATGTTCTTCTCCTTAGCTGTGTGACCTTAAATTTCTTGATGTTAAAGTTCATATGTTCACTTATGTCTTGTTCACTTTTGCCTGAACACCAGTCCGAGTACCTGTTATTATATTACCCCTTTTCTTTAGATGTTGCTTTTTTTTCCTAGCCCTTTCCCATATTCCAAGACTTCTTGAACATCAAAATTAAGCGGGGAGATGTCCTTGGCCACCTTTCTTAACTTGTTGGATGCTGCTGTCTACCTGTCACTTCAGTGTTGTGCTGTGATTGGAGTATGGCATCGTGTGCACGGGTGCATATCGGAAATGTGGGGTTTAGGTTTTTAGATGATTTGTGACAGTACTCCTGTGCCCAGCTGCTAATAAGCCAATACCATTTTGGGCAGGGAAAACTCCTTAAGGCTGTTGGGCTGAGGACAGTACAGGCTTTTCTTTCAGTTGTTTTATCTCCCCTAGAATACGTCTTTACTGTTATCAATTTATTTTCTTACTTTCAGAAAGCTCAACCTGTATTGAATTTCACTCATTAGTGTCTAACTAGGAGCCTGTATTTGTTACTAGATATTCCCAGGTGCTTTCCTGAATAGGGATGGATTAAAGCACCTGCCTGAGTTTTTGCCAAGTGAAATTTCACAAAGGAAATGTTCCTGAAATGGTGGAGAGTGGGTGTGTACCTTGGACTGTTGGAGAGGGATGGATGTGAAGCAGGTCTCAAATCTTGAATGAAGTGTTAGTGTGGAAAAGCTAATTGATGGGGACTGAGGTGGCTTTTCCGGCCTCAATAAATAATGTGTGCCATCTATATCAGCTGTCCAAACACTTTGTCACCTTTCAACCTAAGGCCGTTTTTTAGAGTGGATTAGCTAATCTGTGTAAAACTGCAATATAAGCACTCCTTTGGAATTGAAGTGACCTTCACTGAGAATCAAAGTGACTGTTATTCATTTTAAGTTAATTTACGTTCACATTTGGAAGTAGAGGCTGCAGTTCCCTTTGATTGTACACAGAGTGTTCAATAAGTTTTAATACCCCAAGTATTATCTGTGGCTTGCATCTTTCTGCTGTAGATTTGAAGTTGATTATTTTTATCTGAATGCATTCATTGGAAGGGGTTTATAACATAGCGGCGGCAATAGCAAAGGATTGGGTTAGGTAGCCTGGTGGTCATTGATGAATAACCAGATTTCTAGCCTGAAGATGCTGCCGAGATGAGAGCTGGCAGAGCAGACCTTGACCATGCAGCATGTTTGCCATCACATGGGCATGTTCCCTAGGACATCCCTTTGCTTCATTGGACTTACAGCTGAGTGTGCTTTTTTTGGCAGATAAAATTTTTGATGATGAAGACTCCGTGGATGGGAACAGACCTTCCTCAGCTAGCTCCTCTACATCTTCAAAGGCCCCTGCAAACTCGCGCAGAGTTGGGATGGGGACTACCCGCAGACTTGGGTCTGCAGCTCTGGGCTCCAAGTCTTCAAGTAAGCTGATCGCATATATGAATTGACCTTTATGTGAAGTATTTATAGTGTTCATATTTGAGCTTATTGCAAGGGCTTCCAGACAGGCCCCCAGGATCCAGTAACAGATTTTCCCCTATGAAACCATTACGTGTACGTTGTCTGCATGCCATGACCAAAATTTGGTAGGATGAATCTCTAAGCAGTCCCCACATCCCTATAATCCATTTTGCATTTTTGAAAGGTTGGACCTGTGTGGTTGTGTACTGAGGGCTATGAGTAAATCATGTCAATGTTGCAGTGTATAGATTTTTGCCTTTATGGCTGCAACTCTAGCTGAACTGAGGCAGGCTGCTTACAGCTACATGCTAAACTTCAGCCCATGCAATCTAAAACTGACGCGTTGGCTTTCTTCTAAGACCTTTGGACATTGCTGGTAGTGAAGGTGCAGAAAGAAAACTGAGCAGTAATTCTGAATGTGAGCAATAATTCTACATGTGATTATAATTTTACATGTGACCTAGAGAAATGGAGAAAGTTCCCTATATCAGACAGTCTCTAATCTGATTAGTATTCCAGAGACTTCCTTATCATTTGTCTGTTTGTGCACCTGTCAGATCTGCACCTTCATCTATTATAGATAGGATTAAATCCTTTAAAATAGAATCTCCCATATAATTAAACTAAATATTCTCTTTCATCTTTCAGACTGTGTCCCCTAACTGTTGAGTGACTACTGTAATGACTTTCCTAATGTGCCCTCTGTGCCTAGGAATTGGAAGGATGCTGTGAATGTCTAGTCTGTGCCTGGCACTGAATTTCCCTGTCTCTGATTTCATTAAATCTGCAGCACTTTGAGGCTGCATGGATAGTGAACTTTCTCCTGATTAGGTGCCTTGATAGCTGGTGGTTTCTTAATTGATTCTCTTGTTGATAAGAAGATTGAGAAGGCTTTTTCATTTGTATGTCAGCAGCCAAAGAGGGAGCAGGTGCTGTGGATGAAGAAGACTTCATTAAGGCATTTGAAGATGTCCCAACGGTTCAGGTAAGTAGAATTACACGTGAAAAGACACAGTACTTAAAAGCAGAAGATGAATATAAGATCTAGTCCTAATCACTGGCAAATCGTGCTTCATTGTGATGTTGGCAAATCTTCTTTAAGGGGAAGGCAAGTTTTAAATGGTGGTATCTGCCAGTAGTTTGTGTGAAACCCTCAGGAGTGGAGGGAATGGGGGTGGAAGGGTTGTGATAGAGGTATCATAGGAGTGGACATGGAGCTGGACCTGGACGCGCACGCTGCACAGTGCAGTCTGGTCGAACAAAACCTTAAGTCGGCAGAAGCCTCTCTACGTGTCATCTGTGAAGTGAAAGCAGTAACGGTGACCTGTGTCTCTGGGATTGCTGCTGTTGTGAGTGCAACAACTGGGCAGTGCATGTCTGCTGATAGATTTAGCTGGGTAGCTGAGATGTGTCACGTATCCCCTCTCTTTCACCAGAGCTTTATTTTTGGGACAGCTGAACAGCACATGTATCCACTCATGATCTTCTGTAGGTCTTCGCTAATATAGCCAGTAGCAGCTGCA